AGGGTCTGCCAGGTGAGAGTCCAGCGCCTTTAACCAGCATGCCACCTGCCTGCCCCAACTTGTTCTTTTTTTTAAAGTTCTTTTAAACTTGGGGCCGGCAGATGGCGTGGTGGTTAAGGACGCTGGACTTCCACATGGCCGACCAGTGTTTGAGTCTTGAACCTGGTGGCTTCCTTTCTCCTTTCTCTCTCTCTCTCTGGTCAAATAAAATAAATAAATAAAGCTAAATAAAATAATTCTTAAAAAAAAGTTTTTTTTTAACTTTATGTATCTACTTTTTTAAAAAATTATTTAATTTATTAATTTTAATTTTACCAGAGAGTGGCAGAGCAAGAGAGAGAGGGGGAGAGACAGCGAGAAAGCAAGCCACTAGGTCTGGGATTTGAACCATGGTCGGCCATGTGGGAGTCCAGAGTCCTTAACCACCACGCCACCTGCCTGCCGGCCCCACTTATTTACTGAATTCTTTTAATTTGATCAGGGAGGGACACAGAGAGAGAGAGAGAGAGAGAGAGGGACTGAGACAGAGAAAATGAGGAAGCAAACCGACGGGTTCAGGGCTTGAACTGTGGTCGTCCATGTGGGAGTCCAACGCCCTTAACCACCATGCCACCCAACTATTATATATGCCCTATTGGAGAGGGCTTTTTCTCTATCAGCTCATGGAAAATCCATACCTCGCAGTACCACTTCCCCCGGGACCCTCCTGAGCCCACACAGCTGCTGGCCACAGTGAGCACGGTCCACCCAGCCCTGCACGTGAAGATGCAGCTTCAGAGAGGTCACCAACTCCCCCAGAGCCCCAGAGCACGGGTCGGAGTCAGGATTTGAGCCTGGGCCTGTCTGAGGTCACCCCGAAATTCAGGGTAACCAACGAGAAGTCACCGAGGCTCCCAGAGAAGGTTATGTGAGCTGTGTGCTTGCACGGAATTCTCAACAGAGAGCTCATTATCTGATGGGACTTCAGCCCAAGGGCTGTTGCTTTGGGTTCTGGTGAGAATGGACTATTTATAGTTTGGGGATTTTCTTTTGTTTTTGTTTATGTGTTTGTTTAGAGATGTTTGCTACAGGGCATGTGCACTGGCTAGAGACAGAAACGAGAAATCACCTCCCAGGAGGGATGGCCACGCCACTGCAGTCCCTTCTCCTCCATCCTCCTCTTGGGATTTTGGGCACACAAGCACATGTGTCCGGTGTGAGTTTTAAGTCACCGGGTCCAGGACTCGAATCACGGTCGACTACATAGGAGTCCAGAGACATAACCACTACGCCATCTGATGGCTCCCATTTTAGGTTTTATTTTAAATTTGCTACATATGGGGGCCAGCAGGTAGCATGGTGGTTGGGTGCGCTGGACTCCCACACAGCTATGGTTTGAATCTCAGACCTAGCGGCTTGCTTTCTCACTTTCCCTCTCTCTTTTTCTCTCTCTCACTCTGTCCCTCTGGTCAAAATTTAAAATAAATCAATAAATAAGGTTAAATAAAATCATTTTTTAAAGAACATTTTTGCTATATGGCGTGTGCCCCTGCCAGAGGGAGAAAGAGAATGAGAAAGCACCCCCAGCGAGATGGCCGTACCGCCATCCCTTCTCCTTCATTCTCCTCTGGGGATTTCCGGCAGGTACACGCATGCACCTGTCATGTTTCTGAAGCCTCCAGTTCCGGTACTCTAACCATGAAGCTGGTCACGTGGGATCCAGCTGCCTTGAACACCAAGCCGCAGGGGCTAGCAGGTGGCTCCCCACATTGCCAACTGCAGTTAGAGTCCTGGACCTGGTGGCTTGTTTTCTCACTTTCAGTCTCTCTCTGTCTCTCTCTAGTTAAATTTTAAAATAGTAATAAGTAAAATTAAATAAATAATTTTAAAAAGACAAAAGACAGTGTACTAGCTTAAAAAAAAAAACAGGGGCCAGCAGGTGATGCAATGGTTAAGGTGCTGGACTCCCACATGGCTGACCATGGTTCAAGTCCCGGACCTGGTGACTTGCTTTCTCACTTTCTCTCTCTCTCTCTCTTTGTCTCTCTGGTCAAAATTAAAACAACAACAACAACAACAAAAAAGAATGAGTAAATAAAATAAAAAATAAATAGTTCTTAAAAAAAATCAATCAAACAAACAAATAAATAAATAAACCAAGTCACAGTCTGTCTCCCCAGCCCTAGAAAGAACTACTTACGGGGCTGGTAAAAGGTGCCAGATTCCCACATGGCTGACTCCAGTTCGAGTCCCAGACCTGGTGACTTGCTTTCTTGCTCTTCCTTTCTCTTTCTCTCTGTCTCTCTCTAGTCCAATTAAAAAATAATCATAACAAATGGAATTAAGTAAATACATAAATCATTATTTTAAAAAATAACTCTTTTTTGGAGAGATTTTTGCTGTAGGGTGCATGTGTTCACTGGAGAGACACAGAGAGAGAGAGAGAGAGAGAGAGAGAGCATGAGAAATCACCCCCTAGGGGGGCTGGCCATGTGGCAATCCCTTCCCCTCTATTCTCCTGGGATTTTGGGCATGCACGCACATGCACCCGGCATGAGTTTCAACCTGCTGGACCCAGGACTCGAACTGCAGTCAACCCAGTGGGAGTCCAGCAGGGTAATCACTATTCCATCTGCCGGTGCGCAGACTATTTATAAACTAAGCAAGACCACTCACCACACTGAGAGCAGCCAAGCCAGGCGTCCGCTTGGAAGGAAATGAAGAACCTAGTTGCAGAATCCAGTTTGAAGTCCCCACCGCAGGCCCCCCTTGGCCTCAAAGAGAGATATAATTAAGGAACTCTGGTTTGTTTGCTGTCCCTTGTCCTGGAACACCCTTCCAGCCAATCTTCCCACGGCTGGCTCAACCTCAGGTCCTAAAATAATCCCACGCGATTCCTTTCCACACCGTGCCCGGTACTTTACAAGGTAAAACAACCTCAAATAACATATTCCCTCCCTTGTCAATGCTCCCTGTGGTCAAGGACTCCTCATTTTATTCCCTGTGTGCAGATCCCTGCCTAGAAAGTCCTCAGTAAATAGTTATTGATCAAATAGGTTCCCAGAGCCCAGAACAGCGCCTCTCAGACAGAGTTGCCCTGTCTCCGGGTAGCCCTGGCCAGCCCTGGGAGAGGCTTATTCAATTTCACCCACAGCGGCTCAGTTCCCGTCTTCAGCCAAATTCAATTCTGGGTGAATCATACCATTGTCCACTCTGCGCCTACCCCAAGTCCCAATGCAAACCGAAGATCCACAGGTACTGCCCACCGGCAGACAGGGCCTGGCCAGGACCCCTCGGGCAAGATGCCAAGACCAGAGACAGCCAGCCACACCCAAGAAGCACACAGCACTGGGCGACAGAGCCTGCAAGGTCTGGGACTTGAGCCAAACACCACAACCAAGAGGCCCCTCTGAAAGTCTCCCAGGAGGCTTCCAGCACGGAGCAGAGCGGGGCTGGGTGGTGGCCAGGCCTGGACTGGGTAGAGCTGGGAGTGTCACCGCCTCTCCCATCAGTCTCCCTGCAGCCGCCTGAGGCCACATTCCCTGGAGGAAAGGGAGATGCAGCCTCCTGCCTGTTTGTTTTGCTTGATTATTTCTGAGCTATTTCCGGCCCCCTCCTCAAGGCCCTTCAGTTTCAGTTTGCAGGAAGTGACTGTCACACAGGGGGGAGGCCCAGGACGGTATCACTCCGGGCTTGGACCAAATTGGGCCCTAGGGACCCAAAATAGGAAAGAAAAAGGAGAATCTAAGGACCACAACCCTTCCTACCGTGAGAACTCGGGAGAGGGCAGCACCGGAGCGCGGGTGACAAGGAGGGGTCCCATCCCGGCCCCACCTCCCAGGCTAAGGCAGCCATCGGAGTTTCACGGGGAAAGGGGGTCCCAGGGGCCGAGACCACGGGAAATAAGAAGTGAGCACCCTCTAATCCTTGCAGAGGGCGGGGAAAGTTTCTCAATTGTTTCCGGCATACTTCCTGCCCCCATCACCCGAGACGCCTCGTTTCCGCTCTTC